GGGGTTTCACCATGTTGGCCAGGCTGGTCTCGAACTCCTGAGGTCAAGCAATCCCCCAGCTTCGGCCTCCTAAAGTGGTGGGATTACAGGCGTGAGCCACTGCGCCAGGCCTCCAAGCCAGCATCTTTAATCTTACAGATACGTGCCCCTGCTTCTCTAAAAAGGCTCAAAACGTTTAGTCTTCCTGAAGTTCCCCTACGTTCCAAATAGGACACAGAGAGAAGAACCTACTTCAGAAATGGACTGGTCCAGTCACAGTCACCCCCACTTTAATCCGCAGGCAGCCTGGAACAGTCTAGAGGACAGTTGTATAAAAAGTAGATACCAAGGCTGGCATGGCAGCTCTGTGGCCCTGGCTGGGTTGGTGGGTACTACAGTCAGGCGGGCAGCCATGGCCACTGGTGTCATGGCCCCAGTGAGGGCCCCTGGCTTCGCTCACGAATGTGGTCCAAGATCAGGTCGGTGGCTCGATCCAGCAACAGAGGCAGCAGCTCCTGCTCAGCAGGGGAGAAGCAGCCCAGCACATGGGCCTGTACCGCCTCAGGGTGTGTCGGGCGCCCGATGCCCACCCGCAGCCTTGGCATTGCCTGTGGGAGAGCCAGAGAGGCCCAGGAAGCTTTGGCGAGGTGCTGGGGGACCCCTGGCCCACCCGACCCAGTTGCACAACAAAAGGGTAGACTCACGTTGGAGTTGAGGCAGCTAATGCAGGAACGGACTCCATTGTGGCCCCTTCAAGGGATATGGGAGGGGCAGTTAGTGCCTCCCTGGGGCAGTGTCCTTCCACCCCTCCCTGCCCCGGCTGGGTCAGAGCAGCCCATTTCCTGTGGAGACTGGGTCAGCAGCCCTACTCCACCCCAACTGGGAGGCCTGAAGCCCTATCCCAACCCTGACCATCTCAGGACCTCACCTGGCACTGCCCCCCAGCTTCAGAGCCAGTCTCCCCAGGGGCTTGTCCAGCTCATCATGCACCAGGTACACTTCCTCGGCAGTCAGCCCAAACAGCTCCGCTTAGCACAGGGAAACGGCAGCCCTGGTTACTGCCCATCTGCCCAGAGGGTCACTGTCCAGACTCCCATGATGAGGGGCCACAACTAATCAATCCCACTTCACATATAAAGAAACGGAGGCCCCCACAAGTACCCAAGGCCATGCAGCAACTGGAGCTCAACAGGTACTTGGAGGTGAACC